TCCAGCCCAGGATTCGCCACCTTAAGTTGCGCCACCGCATTAGCGAAACCATTCTCGACAGCTTCCAGTACATCCTATTTGATATTCTGGATACGGACAACAAGCTCACCACGACACATCGGGGTATTTAATTCTTCAGGCTCATCCACAGATGGCGCGACAATGACCTTCAAGGAAGCAACTTTAGCCGAGAGGCTCATCTTATCAGCAGCATAAGTGACTGTCAGATTCTCCATATCCTGAACCATGCCGGCCATCACCACCCTCTGCTCAGCCATATCAGTTATGAGCCTGACTTGGATCTTGTACTGATCCTTGTAATCATCAAAATTTGTCTCCAACTTTATCAACTTCGCCTTAAGATTTATGATAGTCGCCTTTTCCCTCTACAACTCTTTAGAAGAACAAGTCTCCTTGTCAGCATAAACTATCGCCGTCTCCAAAATCCTTATCATAACAGCAGCATCTTGGGCCACAAGCCCTCACTTTCCCGCTACATTGAAGCCCTTAAGGAGAAGTGATTATTCCCGTGGAATGACCAGGGACAGACCCCCCCCTCCCCTGAAGAACCCCTTGTTGTATAGGAAAGAAGGTAACTCAAACTTATTCTCAGCATTATCATCAGTGAGATCTATCTGATCGATGTTTGCACGCCTCCTTTTCGTCTGGGTAGCCTCCTTTGACGGGAATTGCTCACCAGTGCTCGAAGAGGACGAAGTCCTAGACCCAGAATCTGAATGGCTTACCACTCTAGCAAAACGAGTCTTAACAATATCAACTTTCTTCGCATACTTTACCCAATTTGCGGCAGTCAACTTCACTACTCGGTCCTGAAAGCTCGACATCCTACATGCGATAAAAAATTGAGCACACTTTAGCATACAAAAATAAATACAAGAAAAGTAAAAAGAAAAATAACTACCTAAGAGCTATAGATCCTCCTCGATAGTACCACACTCAAGGATTTCCTTGGTGTTGATAAATCGAGACTCGAGCACAGGCTCCCCGCGATCGTCGATGATAAGTTCCCCCCTCTTGGTCATGCACTAAGCTGGGACAAAACCTTCGACAAACGCCACTAATTTGTCATAGCCATCCTGATCGTTAGTATCTAGCTGGTCCACACTCAGGGTATAATAGTCGTTCCCCTGCTCGAAATGGTCGAAGCTCCAATGCAGACAAAACTTTGGGACCAACTTATTCCCCTTCTTCCCACAATCATTAAAGTGGACGCCCGTCCGAACCGACTATATCCACCCAGTTAAATATAAAGCAAATATCCATCCATGACACGGGCTGAATAAGGTAGTACCTGGTTTTGAAGGTACAAGTTGATTCACAAAATGCCTTAAACAACTTTGTCGGCTACTTCAGCGAAACCTAATTATGCCGCCCTTTGTGAGATTGCCGCTGGAGGTGGAAACAACGGAAGAACAATGAAATAATGACACCAATCTCAAGGTACCGACAAATGATCTCAAATGCCCGAATGAAGGCGATCGCGTTCAGATGAAGTTGGGAAGGCGCCAACTCCAAAAGGTTAAAGACGCCCACCTGGAAGTCACTGAAGGGCAATCACAAGCCTACCTCTCTAAAACAATTGTCGTACATGGAGAATTGATTCTTCTCAAATTTCGAGCACACTCGTTGATCAAGTTCAGGCTGTATGACTGGTAACTTTTCATCGGACTCCTCTTGATTAACACCTTTCCCAATGAGGGTGAAAGCTTCTTCAGGAAAGAGAGAAAAGTGCAAAGCCAGCCCTCATGGCTCTTCCCCAACCCAACTAAAGTTGGGAATAACGGGCACATCATCATCCCCACCATTTCGAGCCATTTTACCTGAAAAGCAGAGGGAAGCAGTGAATTTGACGATCAAATCGAATACACCCTTCCACCGCAAATCAAGTGAAAGGGCGCAGAAGGCGCGAGGACGATCCCCTCGACCAAGACCCTTGGTCGAAGACAACAAGTTCAAGTTGACTGAAGGAGACAAGTTCGGGAAAACGTCCCCTCGACCAAACATGCCTGCAACCAGTACTTGAGAAAGTTTGTGCTGAAATCGGACATCAGAACCCGTAGGGCAGAAATTCCCCGACAGACGGGATACGAACACCAAAGGAGACACATCGGAAACTTCATGAGACCCACAGGAAATTCATGGGACTCATCGGAAAATTCATGAGACTCATTAGGAAATTCATGGGACTCACCGGAAAATTCATGAGACTCGAAAAATTCATGGAACTCGTCGAAAACTTCATACCATTCGCCAGAAAATTCATAGGATTCATCGCGAAACCCAGAAAATGGCATGATTGCTTCCACGAGCATTAAAACACTAGCCCTATCTTCTACCTTAAATGATGCTTGAATCCCCTCCGGGGAGGATACAAGGCGGCCGATATTTTATAAAGACGTAACCACCGTCTAACACCAACAACCAACTAATTATGAGCATGAGAAGCTAACCTAACTAGCATCCTAAATAGACAAACTAGAGGAAAGAGTTGAGAGACTTACTTGATAGGAGACAGTGGATGGCAGTCGAGAATGCTCCGGCAACAAAGATGGTGACGACGACGGAGAAATCTCAAAAAGTGATAGCAGACGGGAGCGGGTGAAAATGAAAATTTGAAACCTTTTGCAAATGCTCCCTTTTTTTTAATATTTATATACCTAAGCGGACAGGCACACGTGCATGCGCCTAAGGAAACGCACAACCGTTTTCAGCCATCATTAAACCTACTCTTTAGACTAGCCATCACCATGCATGTAACAAGGCACGTGGATCGAGATGCACAACGTGTCAACTTCCAAACTTACATAAGTTTCTGTCTCCTCAAACGATGGGCACCCCTCATCGATCGCCAATGTTAGACCCCCACATTCTCACTCGAGCATGTCCTCAGAGAGCTCATGACAATGGATATACTCCCCGACGCATAAGCCGAGTCTAAGTCATCACTTCTGTGACTAGAAGCAACGACTTGGAGGGCTCCTGTTCTGAACTGGCCCAATTACCAGGCATGAATCAATCCACTTCTACGTCCAAAACGACTCAATAGCTTTGGCCAAATCAATTGGAACAAACAAAGAGTGCTTTTTCCCTCTGCCCTCAATTGGGGACGCGTGGTCGGTTGACCCCCAAGATCAACGAGACCACCGCTGCCCTCAACCACACCTCTTCCTGCATTAACAAGCTAGTTCTCACTCTGCTAGTCGCACGAGGACAGTCGCCCATGAACGATCAGATCACGCTTGCCCGTGAATACTCACTCCTCTACTCGTTGTAACAGCTAGTTCTGAGCATCTCTACCCGTTACAACGATTAGTTTATGGCAGTTACTTATTTTTTAGGAACCTAATGTTGAGGCCAAAAAATAGAAAGCAATGGCCAAGCGCCTGGGGCACTATATAAACCCTCACACTTGTGAGAGTCCAGTATTCAATATCCAATATTCTACTCTAAAACCCTAATCTCTTTCTTGTGTCTCATTGCACTCTTACTTACTTAGGCGTCTGAGTGTCTTGCATGTACACCCCTCCTCCTTATTTCTAGCACATCAGATTCATCCATCAACCCATTACAGGTTCTGATCAACGGTAAGATCAACGACAAAACTACTCGATACATATACCAAATGTGTACAAATTGTGAATGTATTTAAAGTCTAAGAAAAGCTTCCTTGAACTTCTTCGTGAAGATAATTGGCCCTCAATATGAAAGATTTACTCTTTACCATAATGAATCTATGCGATGGGAAAATAAAAGACGCTCAAACAATACTTACCTAAGAATCGAATGGGCAATATTGAGAAACACAGTCGCATAAACGAAACTATTCAGACGCTACAAACACTTATAAATAGTTATTTTTGTTTTTATTTTAGTTCATCTTGTAATCAAGTTATTAATTATTTTAATATTGTTTAGTCTTTTTTATCATATTACTTATATTAAAAAGAAGAAAATTGATTAAAAAAAAATAATTATTAAATTTTTTTGTTATTATTAAAATAATTAATTTATTCTAATAATAACATAATTTATATATATCTTAACTATATAGTTGATAGCATACCTCTTTCCAAGAAAAAGTGTAGAGTGATGAGTGGATATTTTTTAACTATCTTGCCAAGTTGCCATTACCTTCCATAAGTATAATAAGATTAAACCTCATTCAATATTGTATAAAGATATAGCTGTTTGGTTGTTGTTAAGTTATTGCTAGGTGAAAATTGTCCTACCACCACTCCCAATCTAAGAAAATAATCTTATAGTAATGCCTTTAAGAATACTTCCATCCTGGATCGATGTTCTCTTTGGCTTTGCGTATCCTTTAAGTAACAACTGTTTACAAGCACGCGGTTATTTTTTGGAGAAAACTAGGCAACACATTAGAATGTGAGGTGAAATCTGTTTGGAAGTTTTTTTAAAAGATGCAATGTCAAGAAAATTATGATGGTAAATTTGAGAAACAATGATAAGTGGTATAAATACGAAATGAGTGTTATGCAACTGTAGACCAATTAAAATATCCAATAGACAAGTTGTGAGGTTTGGAGAAACTAACTTTAGATCAAATACCAAAATATAAGTTTCAACAGCAACAAGATATGCACACACATCATGATTCATTACATATGTAATCCAATTCAACAACTAGTCTCCAAAACCCAGCAAAATCCATCCTCAATATATCATAATCATATTAATATCTTTAACAAGGAAGTTTGAATATAAAGTTACACTAATATCTTAAGAGGGAGAAAATCATATGCTGTTAGAAATTGATTAAAAGAAGGGGAGGGCAGTCGCGAGCAATTCCAATCCAAATGGAAAGTGAAGGCAGAAAATTGTTGAAGAGACAAGGAAGGGAGATAAAAAAAACTACATGTAGAACATACATTTAGAGTACACATGCTTTGCACACAGGCAAATTGTAGTACCCAGAAAACTTGCTCCACAGAATGTTGGATACAAATGTATTTCAGTTCTTACTTTTTACGGCTTCTTTTAGATGACCCTTTTGATGACCGCATTTTCCTTGAGTTCGGTTTGTCACGTTTCTGCCATTCAAGATTTAAATTAAACTTGACAGTATTAGTATAATCATTGTCTGAAAATTGAAATGCTAGTGTTTTTTTACCTTCTTTTTCGATCTCTCCTTATGTGGCTTCAGTCCTTTGTCATTCTTCTTTGTATAATCCTAAAAAGTTAACAAAATATTAGTTTTCTTAGCATGTTTATTAATAAATTGGTTTCTTCAATCTGATAGGTCTAATATTTTCATTTAACCGAGTTGCAAATGCAGTCAAACTGTTGAAGAACCAACCTCAGTATCTTCGGTTTCTTTGTCTGAATCCTCTTGGTTCTCTATTTCACCATCGCTGTTGAGCATGACCTTCAGTCTGCCTTCCCTGTGTAGCTTTTCAGATCGAGCATGTCTCTATAGTAATAACAAAGTCATAGATCAACATTGACGGCAAGTAAAATTTTGACATTTCATCAAGATGCAAAAGACGGACGGAAATATTGATTCAAGCTCTATCATTTGTTAAAAAAGGGATCTCCATAAACAGAGATTAGAACAACCTGAAGTTTGCGACGCAACTACTATCAATGAATACCTAAATAGTCGCAGACATAATGATTGCATCTTCCTTGAATTTCCCAGTTCAAACCAGTTACTAAACTTCCCACCAGCAAATACATAAAATGTAGTAATTGATCTTTTGGGGAAGAATAGTTAATAGTTTATGACTTTCTTCTCAAGCTATAGTAGCACAAATAGTAAAGACGGATGATGCATAAGGATATTGCGCAACCAGAGAAAAAAGTGCATTACCTTTGATTGAAGATGATTCCGCAAAGTGTCCTCAGTCAAACAAATAATCCGAGGACATAGCCTGCACTTAAATACTGATTTTATTTGTACGACAAAAGCGGACTGTATATCTGCTGGTAGGGGTTTCTTTTCAGAAATAACATTAGATTTCTCAGTAGCAAACTTCTTGTTAATAAACACTTCCCTTTCTTTTATAGTTCCAGCATCATCTTCACTAAACAGTGGACCTGGAGTAATACCAATGATAAAACAATCATGAGAGAGTGAGGTGGCTCAAACGTCCTCTGTGCAGGAAGCATTTGTGACAGTGTGCCGGTCATGAATTAATTTCATCAAATATATATTCAACAGAAATTTAAGACTAAATCCTGTTTAGAAATATAAAATATTCAGTTTGTGATAATAACTCGAAGAAGACATACCTGCGGAGTTTGCATCAATGTCATTGGCAGAGCTATCCTCACTTTTATATCCTACATTTAGGTTAAATAAAGGTACAAAATTTAATGAATTTAGAACTAAGTGCTAATACATCAACAAGAACACTTTTGTGAATGAGCGAACTAACCAGAAGATGCTGAGCTATCTTCATCATCATTGTCCTGGCTTACTTCTGGAATTTGATTATCATAATCTTCATCTGAGGATGAAGAAGAATGATCCGAACCATCCCTATCGCCATGATCAACCTTAAAGAATCTTCTCTTTATCATTGTTTCGTCTCAATTGAGAACTTAGTGTGTTACTCGGAGAAGAACGAGTTGGGAACGACGGCGAGAAAAGCAGTAGACAGAGAGTGAAACGGGTGAAAGTATTCAAACCCAGTTGGATACTGGGTAAACGGGTTTAAAACCTTGGGCTCAAGTAGGCCCATACATATGTCCATATTCTTTCGGTGGAAATTATCCCCTCACCCTCTACATCTTTCAAAATATTATAATTCTACCTGATCTGATCTGATCAGAAGGTTTGGACCGTCACGGCTTGCTCCGAGCTGAAAGTTTTTTGAACGAGGAGGGGGTACCTGCAAGGCACTCCGATGCTAAAGTCAGTGGGAGTACGAGCAGATAATAGAGTTGAGGTTAGAATCATGAATACCTGACCCTCTGGAAACAGAGGGTATTTATAGCCCCCAGCGCTGGGCCAAGGTTCCTTCGTTGGGCTGGGCGGATTTGGCCCAATGGAGGAACTGCCAGGTTCTACGTGGGTAGTGGGGACCCGCACGTGGTCCCCTTCCTGGATGTGCTGCGTGAAGTGCGGGCGGACAGAGACGCGGTCTTTCCGGAGTATCGTTGGGGGAACGGTGGACTGAGTCTGCCCTAGCCGGGTAGCTCGGGGCCATATCGAGCTGGGCAGCACGGTGCTGAGCTCGACGCCAGGACCTCGAGCTGGACGGCGGGTGTCGAGCTGGACGCCAGGACATGGAGCTGACAGCGGGGTGTCGAGCATGACTTCACCGCGTGGGTTGGACATCGGGATGTCGAGGTGGATATCAGTGTGTCGGGCATGGATGTGACCCCAGTGTGGTCCTTAGTGAGTCTCTTTGGACTGGGCCTCAGTAATGCTTTTGGGCCTGTCGGGCCCAGTCCAGAACAGGAGCCCCCCAAGTCGTGGTTCCTTTGCGAGGAGCCATGACTTGAAACCAAGTTGTTCCGTCGTTGAGGTCTCGTGCCCGGGATGGAGGTGTGGGCCCTCGAGGGGCCTCCTCGTGTCGTGCTCGGAGATGTCCTCGGTGGTGGGTGCGTGGAGGATCCGTACCGGGCGCGTCGGTCGAGCACACGAGGCATCTTTCGGGAGCTGTGCCGCCACCCTATGGGGGTAGGGCCATCATTGCGTTGGGAGCAGCGCGTCGAGGAGATGGAGTCCGTGGTTGACCGAGGTGACGTTTGGTATTCCACGTCATCACTATAAATAGGATCCTTGGGCCCCATAATACGTTTTCCGTTCTCCGTGCTCTCTCCGTTGCCGCTCTCAACACTTTCTCCAGTTGCGACTTCCCGTCTCAGATTCTTCATTTCTTAGCCAAATCCCAAACTTTGATCCAAGTAAGTGATCTACTTTCTTTATTTTTCCGTTTTAGAATGCATGATTCCTGGAAATTGTAGATGTTTTAGGATCGTGCGTGTGGGATTAGCCCGGTAGACTCGTGTTTTGCCCGACATATTCATGTCTAGGACCGGCAAACGCATACTCGTGGCCGGCACATTCATAGTTTTAAGTGAAAGACTTCAGAGCAGCCCGGGGTCTTCATGATCCGGGGCGCCTGATTCATGGTGGTGCCCGGTATGTTTATGGTCGTGACCGTGGGCTTCATAGTGCGGCTCGCCATGTTCATACCTCGGGTCGACATGCTTGAAGAGTGGCCGCGCAGTTGGTTTGAGGAAGAATACTGGGTTCAGGAGAGTCGGGGAGACATCCACTTGTGAAAACGGACTTGTGTAGTAGTGTATGGACGACATGATTATGTCGAGCATAGGACTTCACGCTCAATCTGATTGGTTTCCCGTGCTCTGCAGGTAACCATGGCGGATGAGCCGAGCTCCTCCGGGCGTCATGATCGCGAAGAACAGAGTGCCGATGAGTCGGCCACCCTTATAGATACCGTGACCGACCCATTGCTGGAATGAGTGGGTGTCGAGCCTCGTGGGACAGCGTCGATATATAGCCGGGATGACCGACATCCATTCACCGCTATTGAAGAGGGTCAGGACCAGCCCGACTTCCAGCAGAACTTCGTGGTCATGCTTCCGTCGACCAATGCAAGAATTTGCTCGGTGTATCCGAACTATAGCCTCGCGATGTATGAGATCGCGTTTAAAGACTTAGGGCTGCGGCTGCCGTTCACAGATTTTCAGGCCGGGGTCTTTACGCATCTGGAGCTGGCCCCGTCCCAGCTACACCCAAACTCTCTCGCCTTCATCCGGGCGTTTGAGCTGACGTGTCGCTACTTAAGGATAGGGGCGACCATCCCTCTTTTCTTTCGGGTATTTCACCTGCAGCGTCAGTCCCGAGGAGGGAAGCACAGCTGGGTGTCCCTGAAGCAGTCGAGGAGACTGTTTAAGATGTATATGGACTCCGTGAGGGGGTTCAAGGACAAGTGGTATGTGGTACGCCCTATTACCGACTCTGCTGTGGATTCCCTTTTCGAGGAGGAGGGGCCAGTCAGCGATGATGACGGGGAAGCGATGGTGGCCGACGACGGGAGTCCCGTGTTAGGTCGTAGGGCTAAGTTCCCGGTGTACTGGATGTCCCGACACTACGAGCATGGGACAGGTTATTTCCATACCGCAGTCGGGGATATGTGCACGGAAGATCAACGGGCGTACGAGGCTCTTTGCCGGTTTGTCGACAGCTTTCATCCCGCCCAATGGGTTACGCGGGAAGGGAAAGATATCCTCGACAAAGACGGTTACCCGACGTTCGAGTCTCGCCCGATCGACACCAAGGCGCTGGTGGAATGTCCGACATATAGGCAGGCAGCCCGCCTGTTAGGTTGTTTGCTTGAAATTCTTTATTCGTCATTTATTTATGCAGTCTGCTCGATATTGACTTTCCTTTTATTTCGTGCAGGTTCGATGGCTAGCCGACACGAAAGGCTCCTGAAATTGTCAAACGACCAGAGGCGAGGCAGGAGGGTCGTGAAGCCCCCGCAGATGACGAGGATGGGACCACCACAAAGCCCGAACGCTCCTCAGCCGGTGAGGGTGGACTCGACGTCGAGCTCGGGGCCCGCGTCAGATCCAGAGGTCGAGGAGATTGATCCCAGTGCTGTTTTGACGCAGAGGAAGAGGACCCGCGTGGAAGGCGGTTCGACTGTCGGGGAGGATGCCGGTGCTGTTCAATCTTTTGCCTTCCCCCCTTGCTTCGAAAAGGCGGGCTTTTTCGAGCGATTTCCTCCGACAGTGGTCGCCCATGAAGCTGAGGCCATCAAGAAGATGACTAAAGAGGAGAGGAAGTCGTATCTGGCCGACAGCGTGGACGGGCTGGTGAAAATGGCCGAAATGGCTTTGGTGTTATCTGAGGATGCAGGGGATGCTGCTCGTGTTGAAGAGCTCGAGCAGGAGAAGGCGGCCTTGACTGCGAGCTCGCGGAAGTTGAAGGTCGCTCTGGAACGCTCCGAGGGGATGTTCCGAGAGCAGACCGCGATACTTGATGCCGAGAGGGAGATGCTGACCTTGGAAAAGGAGAAGTCGGGGAGGTTGACTGAGGAAGGGGAGTTGCTCCGGACCGACAGGGATCGCTTGGCTGCTGAAGTCGAACGCCTGGGTAAACAGGTTGAGGAACTGAATGCTGTCCAGCAACCTGCCGAAGATGAGCCCGAGGACATAGTGATTTTGAAGAGTCGGGCTGAGCTTGTCGCCCATATCCGGCTCCTCGAGGCGGACTGCATCGGTGCTCTGGAAGACGGGTTCAATTCTGCAGTCGATCAGCTCTCATTGCTAAACCCTGGCCTGGTCACCGAGGGCATCGGTCATACACACCGGGTTGTAGGTGGCGCGATCATTCCTCCGCCCGACTCTCCCAGCGTCGACAATGATGATAATGTGGAAGTTTGAGTAGGATAGCGGGCCTGCGTGCCCTTGATATTTGTATTCGTATTCTTTGGGCCTGCGTGCCCGTTTATTGTATGTATGAACATCGTCGGCCTTCTTGGTCGGTTTAATATTGCTTTGTTGCCTTCGGGCGTTTATACCTTGTTATTTATTTTGGATTTTTTGCCCTTGTTTGAAATCACATGCTTGTATGAAATTAGCCGAAGCCACGGGTCCGAGGAGTGCCCGTAGGTGGCTTTGATTTGGCGAGCGAATCTGCTCGTCTCCACTTGTATGCAATCTCGGCCCTATTTTGATTGGCCGGGGTTGCCTAAGTGTTGCGCTCGAGGGGAGAGATTTTCTTTTGACCCTTGTATATGTCCCGTTATTCTTGATGGAATGTCGGGCATTTTGGAGCGAGGTTGCTCAGTCGGGCGTGGAGCCCGTGGGGACGATTCGCCCTTGGCGTGAACTGCCCATCGCGAGCTGGGTGTTCTGCCTCATGGGTACGACGACGGTGGGGCTCGGTACAGCTGTCCACGTCGGGCACTATCGATCGTCAACGTTTACCGCGCGATGCCGTGCTAATTTGGTCGTGTGTCGGGCCTGTACCTTAGCCTTAAACGAATTTGGACGTTTTTCCTCATTGCCCGAGCGTGGTTGCTGTTGGTCGAGGGTCCTAGGTGTTGACAGTTTCTAACTGTAGTACTGCTTCAACTTAGCAGCATTCCAGGGTCTTGGTAATGGCTCTCCGTCTAACTGCTCGAGGTAGTACGCCCCGGTACCCGTGGTGCCGTGGACGCGGTAAGGTCCTTCCCAGTTCGCGGCCAACTTCCCTTCGCGGGAGTCTTTCTGGTTCCTGCGTAGTACCAGGCTGCCTATTTCGAACTCGCGCTTGATGACCTTATCGTTGTGGCGTAGAGCCACTCGTTGTTTTAGGGTGGCCTCGCGCAGGGCAGCCCCCGATCGGATTTCCTCGACTAGGTCGAGTTCGTCTCTTAGTGCTTCGTCATTTAGCTCTTCGTCGAGGGGTTCCTCTGTTCGTCGGGATGGTTCCATGATCTCGACCGGGATGACGGCTTCGGTGCCGTAGGTCAGTCGAAATGGTGTTTCCCCAGTCGTTGAGTGGGGTGTGGTGCGGTATGCCCATAGGACGCTGTGGAGCTCCTCGACCCATCCTC